CTGCCCATTTTTAAATCACACTTTTTTTTTTTTTTTTTTTGCTGTTGAGTTGTATGAGTTCTTCACATATTTCCTTATCAGATATATGATTTGCAAATATTTTCTCCCATTCAGTAGATTGTATTTTCATTTTGTTGATGGGTTCCTTCGCTGTGCAGAAGCTTTTTAATTTGACATAGTCCCACTTGTTTATTTTTGCCTTTGCTGCTTCTGCTTTTGGTGTCAGATTCAAAAAATCACCAAGACCTATTTCAAGGGGCTCACTGCCTATGTTTTCTTCTATAAGTTTTATAGTTTCAATTCTTATGTTCAAGTCTTTAATCCATTTTAAGTTAATTTTTGTGTATGGTGGTTAAGATGGTGGTTGAGTTTCATTCTTTTGCATGTGGCTGTCCAATTTTCCCAACACCATTTATTGAAGAGACTGTCCTTTCCCCATTGTATATTCTTTGCTCCTTTCTTGTAAATTAAATGACCATATATACATGGGTTTATTTCTGGGCCCTCTATTCCGTTTCATTGATCTGTGTGTCTGCTTTTATGCCAGTATTATATGGTTTAATTACTACAGCTTTGTAATACGGTGTGAAGTTAGGGAATGTGATGCCTCCAGCTTTGTTCCTCTTTCTAAAGAGTGCTTTGGCTATTTGGGGTCTTATATGGTTCCATAAAATTTTAGTTAAGGATGTTCACAAACAACACTAAACCAAAAGATGTTCTCAAATTATTCCTACCGACACACTGTCCACAAGTACACCGAGGTAGGACAGAGGTAGAAAACAGAACTTAAAAAGCCAGTGTGGGAGAGAAAGAGGCTAGGACTGGGAGTCATGATACCTAGGCCCTAGTCTCCTAGCTGTGTAAACCTGAGCAAGACACTGACCTTCTCGAAGCTCACTTTCTTTACCTCTCAAATGAAGGTTTCACATTAGTTTACCTTGGAGGACTCTTCCAGCTCTGACCTTCTGTGATTGCATAACTTCAGGAGGACGTTCGACTGGTTAGATGACTTCCCCACTGTGCTCCTTCTCTTAACTAAGTATGTTAAACATTTGGGTAGCTCCTGAGCAGTGAGATATTGGGATGCAGGCAGTCTGCCAATAGTGGAGTCCAACTTACAAAGACGCAGCATTAAACAACCCAATGCCCAGAAACTTGGAAAAGCAGTAGTTTACATTTATACCAGGCAAACTCTTAATAAACAGGATGAACCTTCATCCAACGTAGAGCCCATAGTGTGCTATGGCTGCAATCCAAAGAAAAATCTTCCTTTCCCCTTGGCGCGGAAAGTGCAGCCAGGGTTGGAATGCAGATACCCCGTGATTACTTCTGTACCAGTTAGCTTTTGCTGCATAACGCACTATGCCAGAGCTTAGTGGCATAAAACAACAACCTTCTAATTTAGCTAATGACTCTGTGAGTTGGTTGGCCCGTTCCTCTGGTCTAGGCTGGACTGGCTGATTTCTAATTGGCTTGCTCATGCATCTGTGGTGAGATGGCAGGTCAGCAGGAGGCTGGATGATCTAAGACAGCTTTACCCTCATATCTGGCATTTGACAGGCTGTCAGCCGGAGCTGCAGGACTATTGGCTGGGGTGTCTCAGTTCTCAGCCTCACAGTCTCTCATTATCCAGCAGGCTAGGGTGGACTGATTCACATAATGACAGTGCAAGGTTCCCAAGGTTAGCAAGAGAGCAAGCCCTGATGTTCAAGTTCTTTTCAAACCTCTTCCGTGGCACAAAACATGTCACATGGCCAAGCCAGATTCAGGTGGTAGGAAAACAGACTCCATCTCTTGATAGGACATGGAAGCAGGGAAGGGAAGAATTTGTGGCCAGTTTTAGAATTTACCACACCTTCCAAGATGAAGATGGAAACATCAGATGTCATACCTTTAAACCAGAAGGTCCATTGGGAGGAAAGGAGAAAGTGGTAGAACACAAAGGAACATGTTTTTGCTACTTAGAATCTCAGAGCTAGAAGGAGTCTCAAATGCCTAAGTTTCATCGACACGTGAATATTCTCCGTATCTTTCTGACCAAGTGGTCATCTTGCTCCTGCTTTTAAACAGCCTCACAAAGTGTGGTCTGTTCCATTGTTGGTCAGCTTCGTTAATTAGAAATTTCTTTCTTTCTTTCTTTCTTCTTTTTAATATTTATTTATTTGGCTGCGCCAGGTCTTAGCTGCAGCACGCGGGATTTTTTTTTTTTTTTTAGTTGAGGCATGCAGGACCTAGTTCCCTGACCAGGGATCGAACCTGGGCCCCCTGCATTAGGAGCGCGAGTCTTAACCGCAGGACCTCCAGGTAAGTCTCAGAAATTTCTGTCCTTAGGTAACACTATCCCACCGATTCTATTCTGGCCTCTGAGTCACAGAAAACATGTCTAATTCCTTTCCAATATAACACTTCTGAAACTCTGAAATAAAATTGGCCTTAAGACTTCTTTTTGCCAGTCTAAGTATCTTTGATTCTATCAGTCTCCGCTCATATTGTCACATACACGAGGATACATGTGAAGGTACTTTGTAAACTGGAGTTCTATGTGCATCTTTGGGATCATTCCTATTACGGTTTTCAAACTCTTCAACACGCTCAACTAACTCCTTGGCTAACTTTTACTTTATAGATGTTTCTCCTGAAATATGGACTTGGAATTTATTCAGAGGTCTCCAAATGCTGTTTAGCCAAGCAGAAAAGAGACTATCACCTCCTTCATTCTGGGATTTTTTAACGTGAAAGTAAAATTTTGTTCCTGATGTATTTAACCTTAAACATTTGGTCTAGATTATTGTTAAATATTGTCAGAACTTTTTGGATCCAACTTTTGAACCCAGATATTCTCCCGATAGCTTCCTGTCACTTACCACTTATATAAGCATGTCACTTATGTCCTTATCCAAGTCACTAATAATAATTTTGAGTAGCACAGAGCCAAAAATGGAGCTCTTCTATACATTTCTAGAGACTTTTCTTCAGACGGTTATGATCCTTTTGCCAGCATTGTTTGGATAATGGTGCTCTTTCCATGTCAGTTAAAAATCCATCAAACTGGAGAGTCTAAATTAATAATGGTTTTAAAATTTTGAATTGCAGAATCCTTTGGTTAAATGAAATGTTACAAGGATATAACAGATAGAACTGCTCTGATTGAAGCATGGGTGGGCTGGCTGTCCCGGAGCTACTAGGACAGCTACTAAATCCCTACCCGGTAGCAGGAATCTATGGATTGTGATTTGAAAACCATGTGTTTTTTCAGTCATGTTTGTGGCCTTCTACCTGGGTGCATTGTTTCTTAACATCATAGTCTCACACTCACTATTTGAATGGTTTCTTGTGAATAAGTGATGACCTTCCCAACACCAGGTCCACTAGACGGTATAGAACCTGTCCTCAGACAAAGGTGGTAGAATGCTGATTTTCAGTCTTTGTGACTTTGGAGTCAAAGGATTCCCAAGCACAGAAGAAATTCCTGTGATCACAGTAGGATGCACAAACAGGTTAAGGGAGTATACTCCCCACAGGCACTGAACTATTCACCAGCTCTGTCACTGTAATGGCCCATTCCTCAACAAATAATTTCAGTTCTGCCTGTATGAATAATTATTTACATAAGATGCCTCTTTGATTTTACTTTTATTATAATTCTTAAAATTTTTAAGTTATTTTTAAAATAATTAATAGATTTCATTATTTTTTTCTGCTGCAGTTTTAGGTTTACCAAATAAATGAGCAGATAGTACATAGAGATCCATATACCCATCTCACCACCAGCCCCATCTAACTGTTTTGTAATTGCACAAATAATACATGAATACATCATTCTTCCTGAACACAATTAAAACAAAATTAACCTGGTTTTCCCCTCCTCTCTCCAGTAATTGCTGTTATCAGTCTGATATGTTTTCTTCTAGAACTGTTCCTATGTACTAACATATATATTTATCTGTATTCCAGCAAGTGTTTATTATTATTATTTTGAAGCAAATTGGTATATTGTATGTTTTGGTCTGCAACTTGCTTTCTTTCAATTAACAGTGCAGTTTGAAGATCTTTCCATGCTATTTTATTTACCTAACCAACTGATGGATATTCAGGTCATTTCCATTGTTTTGCTTTACATACAATGCTGCAGTGGCCACCCTTGTATGTGGCATGTAGGTGTGCATGTGTTTGTGTTTCTTTGAGATGTGGAACTGCTGGGTCATAGGATCTGTGCATATTAGAAAGTGGTTACTGTAAAATTATCCTCTAAGTGTCTTTACCAATTTATACCAGCAGGGAAGGAGAGTGTCTCCTTTTCCTACACCCTTACCAACACTTAATATTATCAGATTTTAATATTTTCCCAATCTAATGGCAGAAAATGGTTTTGCATTTTAATTTGCACTTTCTGATTACTAGTGATACTGGACATCTTTTCATTGGACATTTGTATTTCTTTGCTTTTAAAAATGGAGATTAATAGGAAAATGAGGATTTCATTTGGGGAGCTTTATTTGGTAGCTGCTTTTCTTGAATGTGTCTACACTGGTCATTGATGAATGGCTGAAGTGATTAAATTTTTAAAAAAGCAACTAGTGTCACAAACATGGCAAATTTAACCTAGGTTCCATTGCTATTTCAATGTTTAGTGGTTAAGTCATTATGTGTACTCCATCTCATCTTCCTTTTCTGATTTATTTACACACACAAGCTAACAATTAAAGAAACAATTTCTGCCTACTACTTACCTTCATTGAAATTATGTATAAAATCAAGAGCATGTTTAATCATTTTTCTCATTTGATCCAGAATATCAGCTCTCAGAACCCCTTGAGGCTGGGGACCAACTTCTATACCTAGGTACAGAAGGGGAGATAGTCACACTCATATAAGTATCAGAATATAAGATCGAGCATTCTCATATATCAAGATCTAGAATCCCATCATTAAAAATGATTAAAGAGGTAGACCATGCAGCATCATGGAAAATACGTGAGACCTAATGTTAGGCAAAAAATAAAGCAGAACATTTACATGTACAAGTTATATGCATAGTAAGTAAAGACTGGGAGAGAACATGGAAAAAAATCAAAGAGTTGTGTTATAGTAGCAAGGTTTTGGGGTCTTTTTTCTTTAAATTTCCTTCAATATTGTCAAAATATTAAAAAGTAATAATATAGTAAAAGGAGGAGACAAATTTATACTGACAAAATAATAAGTGGCCACAAAGAGAAACTGTCACGGACCTAACATTTAGCTTGTAGGAGAAAACACATCTATAATATTTAGTAATAGAAACCTAGACTAAATGAGCCATGGATTTAAGTCAAATGACAATCTATGTGACCCTAGAGCAACATTCTTGCCTTTAATATAACAACCCATCCCAACATGATAGTGCAATGGTTTTAATTTTCTGTAGAAACAATTTGTATTCATTTCTTCTCACCCCAATAAAATTCTGCCTGTACTATCAGGTCTATTTCCTGTGGCTGTCAAGCATCCATCCATAAACCTACAAAATACTCTTTCTCTAAACCACCTATCTAGTCCCTTCCCTCCTGTCCAAGTCTCCCACACTGTTATCCCTCCAATCATCAACTTAACCATTTATAAAACCATTTGCCAAGTAAAGCATCATCCACTCTCTTCCACCAATTCATATACAGTCTTTTCCACCTATTCTATTTTCATCCACTTCTGTTATTTCTCAATTCACAAAATCTTACTGTATTCTCTTTTATCCTCATTTTCATTTTTGTGCTTAGCTTTCCTGGATATACTTAAGTATATGATATAAGTGCGGTTAAGGTATGCATCAGTACATAGATGATTTGTACAAATGTGTGAAAATGTGTTCATGGATATGTCTTGTATGCATACTGTGGAAGACATTGTTGATTGCCTACCCAAAATTCATTCTGTCTTACTCCTTGCTGACAGAGTCCTGATTTTGGTTGGGGTATCCAACTCAGGGGTAAGTGTAGAATAGTTTTAGTCAATCATAGTAATCTCATTAACCCTAGTAATTAATTTAAGAACGGATATGTGACCCAGTTCTGAACAACTGGCCATAATGGAAGGTCTGCAGGGGAGTTCCTGGGAGTCTCCTTTCTTCCAGTAGATATTGTCATGTTGGCATATGATGCTTGAAATTACAATGAACATCTTGTGGCACCTAAAGTCATAGGAGTATTATAAAACATTGAGTTGGAGAGTGTGTCTCTCTGATCTTAAGTGTTTTTCCCCCCAATGACTGGATGATATAAAAAATATTCCAAATAAAATAGTAAAGTTGAAAGGAGAACATATAATATTTCTATTACTTATGATGATCTTAATACTCCCCCATATTGAAACCTTTGAAAGATTTGGCTCTCTTTTTAACAGTCAAACATATCAGTAGATATTTGCTCTACCTAAGAGCAGCATTGCCCCATAAATGTAATAGACCAAGATTGCTCTCTCAAGACTTGGAAATCCTATGCTTTATATGGTGTCACAGAGAAAAAGGAACTTTATCCATTATTGTCAAGCATTTGGTTTGTTTCAAATAATTACCTATACTTGGCTATTTAGCTTGCCTCAACTGATCCCTTGATTATGCACCAAAATTATCAATAATTGAATAACCAAGATAACCTTAAATTTGCTTCTATTGTTTGACAACTTGTTTTTTTGTTTGTTTGTTTGTTTGTTTTTAGCATTTTTTTTTTTTTTTTTTTTTTTTTTTTTTTTTTTTTTTTTTTTTTTTTTTTTTTTTTTTTTTTGCGGTGCGCGGGCCTCTCAGTGTTGTGGCCTCTCCCGTTGCGGAGCACAGGCTCCGGACGCGCATGCTCAGCGGTGGAGAGACACATTCCCTGCATCGGCAGGCGGACTCTCAACCACTGCGCCACCAGGGAAGCCCCTGACAACTTGTTTTTAAATTAAATTTCTCTTATTTAAACCACCTGAGATCTGACAAAAAAGATTTTAAGTTGTGACAGCAATTTTAATGATTATAGTGTGGTCTGCAAACAATTATGCTAATAGGTCACTCAGGAAAGAGAATGGAATATAGAAAAAGAGACTGTCCGTCTGGGAGGGTGTATGAGAGTGCAAACCTGCATGTTGGAAGTTACCAGAAGGTAAAGATGAATTCACAGCCCAGTGACCGACAGGGCAAACGAGTGAATGGATAACAAACACAGGTTACCAGAGACTCTACCGCAAAGCAGGTGCTAAGAGGGATGTTGGGAGAGAATTTTCCATGGGTCTTTTGTACTTCTGCACATCTTGCCAGCAAGATAGTGACTGCCTTGGCTCCAGATTATTTTTTTAAAGAATGTTTGTATAGTAAATAGTCTTGGAAGATAGGGATGGTGTCTTCCTTAAGCAAAAGGCAGGCTGCTTACTGTCCATTATAAAAGATTCAAATTCCCTCAGCTCAGTGTTTTTTCCTGGAATGTGGAAAGCTGCTCAATGAAATTGAGGAAATCTGATATAGTTAGAGACTGCCTGCAGATAGTTTGCTTATTACTTGACAGTTATAAGCCATAATGATAAGCAAAGTAGCTATAAATAGTCTTTAAATTAATTTTCTCAGAGTTTCATCTCAGACATATTTTGTTTAGTTGTGACAGTGGGAAATATGACTTACCAACAGGGTACTTGGCTATAGAACGAGTGGTTGCATATCTGAGGGAAGGATGCTCAATAAGGTAAACATAGCAGGGTAATGGAGCCAAAGAAGTCTGAAAAGAATTTAAAACATTTTTCTTATTATGTAAAGACCATATGCCTTGTTCTCTTTGCTATTAGAGAGTCAATAATGTCTTCAATATGTTTCACTTCATCAACTAAGATTAGTAAGACAGCTTTATGAAACACACTCTAAAATCCGATGGTATTATTAAAGCTTTGAAAGCACATAAATGAATTACATATAAAATTGGATAATATATAGCTTTCTGGATAAAATGTACATTAAACAATTCCCCAGAACCATAAACAAAGAATATGAATAAATTCTTTTTCTCAACGGATTTGGTTATTTTTGTTTTCACCCCTGGTTACACTTACTATTTAGCTTAGTATTGGTCTCTTAAAGAATTCTTTTTCTACCCCTATGGGCCAGGTCCCTACAGATGTCGGCTAACTCCCCCTACCTCCACTTATCTGAAGGAGGATTCAAGAGGGCCCTCTCAGTTTTGATAACATGCTGCTTCTGCGCCGGGCAAGCAAAGTATTCAGCTCTCCCTTCAATCAGCAACAAAGAATAGCTGCATTATGATCTCTTACCAGAACTACCATTTAGTCAACGCCAAAAAATTCAAGGAAACAAAACTAATAGTTAATCTTTACTATCTGCCAGGCATTCAGCTAAGTGCATTAAATATCTTATCTCATTTAAGGCTTATAACAGCCATATGGGGTAAGTATTGTTATTATGTCAATTTTATAAAATGAAGAAAGCAAGGTTTGGGGAGTTGAATATCTTGTTCAAAGTTAGTGAGAGAAAGCCAGGATTTGAACCCAGGCACTGGCTATACGGGTCACACT